CCAGCCTGTCAAGGTCCCTCTGGATAGATGTGTAAGTGTACTGAAAAGAGGGATGTGGACATAGTATATATTGAAGATGGTGCTCCCCAATGTGTTTTGAATACACTATAACATCCCCTGATAGTAAATAATCTATTTTGAAACTGGGGACTGCAGTGAGTTGGCTCAGGAAAGGGTATTATAACAGTGGAATTGGAATTGAACAATTTCTCTTCTGTGTCTTGACTCTCTTTGGTGCACCTCTTGATCTAGCCTCATACAAAGCAAAAGGAACTCCATTAAACTTTCAAAATTCAGGCGAAAACAATAAGAAATATTAGACTTACTTGCATTAATGACTCACAGATAATTAAATGTAGTATCATCTGCTATTAAAATATCAGGTAAAAACTTTTTTATGAAACAGAGAAACATGTCAAATTTCTTTCTTGTGTTTTGCACAACACAAAACTATGTGTTTCAGTTTATGAAAGTCACCTAGTCTTTGAAAAGTCAGTTTATGTAAAGAGATTAACATTAGTACTTTTTCTCCCTAGGAGTTAAGAGAGGACAACATTATATTAATTGAAACAAAGGCCATGCTAGAAGAACAGCTAACAATGGCAAGAGCTCGTGGTGATAAACTGCATGAATTAGAGAAGGAAAATTTGCAGTTGAAATCCAAACTTCATGATGTAGAGCTGGTATGTCCTCTCTTTTTCATTATGCTAATTTTTTGAACTTCTGTTTTTATGCTGTCACAGATTCATGTCACAGAAACCAGTGGAGACATGCTAATAAATCAACAGTGCTTTTAAAGAGGTCTTTAGTTTGAACTTTGTGTACATGAATTCTTGAAATACTATAATGTTAACAGTGTAAATATTGCCCATGCTACTTTGTGTGAGACTGCTGAATTAGGTAGAAATATCTCAGATATGGGAAATGAAATTACTGTAGTGAATGATCTTAACCCCCACCCATTACAGTGATTTTAAGAATCCATTACTGCTGTAGAAGAAAAGACACAGAATTCCAAAATTTATTTCTGTGTAAATCAGAGACATCGCTTATTGCTTCATAGACAAGGAAATGTAAGAAGTGGCAGATTGTATAGAAACAAAAAGCAGCATTGGATTTTATAATCCCACTGGAAGTAAATACTCTTTTGTCTCTTGTATTTTACTTACAGCCCTCCTCTTATCCCACTGTGTTTTGAATTCTTGTGGGTTTAACTGTATAGGGTTTCCAACAGAATCTGTTGGAAACAAAGATGTCCAGGGTGCTGTGTGGAGTTATGTTTAATGACTGATTCTGATTCAGGGCATTATGAGGGTCATGTCACGCTCCAGGTGTCCCAAAGTGGCTGGTGATTTTGAATGATGCTTTTCTGGGTGACTTGATGAATTTTTGGGTAATGCTTTCTGAAAATTTGTGACCCTCTGAAGCACCACTTCAGTTCCCACAAATGCAAATGGCCAAAACAGTCACAAGAGACAACAGTAGATTCATTCTCCAGATCTGTTTTCTGGATATTTTAAAACCCAAATTGAGGGAGGTGTTACTTGCTGATCCATATGACTGGATCTAAATTTGACATGACAAATTGTGGAAGCTCAGTAGAATTCAAGGTTATATCTGCAGAGTCTCCAGTGTGTCAGTGCATGATGCTACATGTTTTTGAAGAGCTTAGTTCTGGAGACAGCTTGAATCCAGCCTGCCTTACTAGCCCTGGCTTGTACTGGCCCTGTCATCACCCACTATGTTCTCACTCCAGTGACCCTCCCTTCAAGTGTGTCATGGACCTGAGCTGACTCTAAACAGGGCCATCTGGGTGTCTCTGCACCGTGTTCTGTGGCACATGTGGTGGCCCACAGCAAACGTTTAATGCTGTACGTGTATTTAAATATAAAAGCACAAAGTGTTTAAGGAGATTCTTCTGCCTTCAATGTGTGTTGTGCTTGTAGCAGTTCAACTGACAGAACAATCTTACAGATAAACTGAATGTGCATTTTCGTGCATGTCTTGCACAGGACCGGGACACAGACAAGAAGAGAATTGAAGAGCTGCTGGAGGAGAACATGGTCTTGGAGATTGCACAGAAACAGAGCATGAATGAGTCTGCACACCTAGGCTGGGAGCTAGAACAACTGTCTAAAAGCACAGATCTTGCAGATAGTGAGTACCAGCTGGGGTAGCTGCTGTGGTGGTTGTGGTCTCTTTCAGAGTAGACAGGTTGATTGACTAAAATGGGAACAGAGGTTGAATCCAAATTTGGAGAACTTCATTCAGGCACTTGACATTGAACTTAGTTTTTCAGAAGTTCTGAAAAACTATTCATTCTAGTTTCTTTCACTTTCTTTTGAAAGCATTAAAATGTTTTCCTTTTATTGTGTTTGTCGCTGAGAGAGTGATTAAGTAAAATGATACAAATTAAAAAAAAGAAGAAAAAAAAGACAGTTTTGTAAATGACACAGCAGAAAGGTCACACCAAACGCTGGGTATTTCTGACTGAATAACTGGGAGGAGTCTGATCTTTCGTATTCTTTAGTACAATTAGTACAGACAATTAGCTGGACTTTAAGTCCCGGGAAGTAGTGTATGCTGAAGTCATTTATTTTTACTAGATACTGAAAAATGTGTGCAGTTAAAATAACTGGCTGATTTTTTTTTTCTGAATGGTTGATTTGATTTCCATAACTATCACAAACATAACTAATACTTCCTTCACTGGTCAGGTTTTAGCATTGGTTGCTGTGTCTAACATTCATTCTGTCTAGAATACCAGCCTAAATAACAATGCTAAATGGAACTTGGGAAATATAAGCTATTTTGTGCAGTTCAGCTTTTATTGATTACTCACCTGATTCTTCTAAGACTTGCATGTTTGCCTTTGTGTACCAGGAACAGTTTAACTTGAAGACAAAGGAATACATTAGAGTAAGCAGATGTTCAGTTTTCAGTAAAGCTGTCTGGAAGAATAGGTTTGTTTTGTAAAATAACTGAATGCTTTTTTCCCATGACTAAATATGATCGAATACCTAAGTTTTCACTAGCTTTTGGAAGTGCACCATCTTGCTGTTTTAGCAAACAGTTTGAAGTGGTTTACTTTCTGCCTCAATTTATTTCCTCTGATGGAAGTATGTGAGGGCATCAAAGTATATTTTGCTACTAACATTAAACACTCTGCTAACATGGCTAAAGCAACTTTTAAGAAGAGTTAGGAAAGTAAGTAACTTTTAAGATGGTTATCTTTTCAATTAAAGGTCTTAATTGTTATCTGTGAAAATGGGTTCTGTTTTTAACAAAGTGTTTACTTAGCAGTCAAGCTGAAATGATAAGGATTTGACTGCAATTATCTTCATACAAGTGAATCTTAAGGACCTAGGAAGGGTTTGTGAATTGGTTAGTGCCATCTTCTGATTCTCACGTTTCAACAGCCAGAAAGTCCTTTGTGTTTGAGTTGAATGAATGTGCTTCGAGTCGCATACTGAAGCTAGAGAAGGATAATCAGAGCTTGCAGAACACAATCCAAGAGCTGAGAGATGCCTCCTTGACCTCCAGAGAGAGCAGCCTAAAGTTTGTGGAACTGGAAAAGGAAAATCAACAACTTAGTAAAAAGGTAATTTGCTCACAGGAACAAAGAGATCTTCCTTTTTTAAACACAGTGCACGCAGGGCTGTACAGCGTTCCTGAACAATGAGGGATTGCAGGCAATTCACCCATGGTCCCCAGAAGACTACGCATGTTTTGGGGCCCATCTGTTTAATTGCGTTCTAACATTGGTGTATTCTATTGCCTTCTACTTCACTGTCTACTTATGTGCATCATTGTAAGCAAGAGTGGCTGTTCCTATTTCATAAGAGCTGTCTTTCAGTGCTCATTTGCCCCCTCAGGTTGTACTGTTGATTGTGTCCCTTTTTTGTCATCTCATGGCAGTCACTACTAGCCAAGGAAGCCGTGGCCACATTGAACTGTTTTGTTTGTTTGAAAGTTTTAATATTGTTTCCATGTGGGTCAAATAAATCACACAGGTGAATTCAGGTTAGTATATTTTTAAGTAAGTTTGTTTGGGTTTTTTGCTGTCCATAGTCCTGGATCAGCTCTTTCTTTGTCTTGTCCTTTTGGCTATTAGAAATTCTCTAGTGTCTTGCTCTCTGCAAAGAGTTGGGTTCTTTTAATCTTCATGATAAACATGTAGGTAATAACTTTTTAGATTTATTTTTATATATACGTATGTTACACTGTTATTAACGATGATTACATTTAGCACAAATGCCAAATCAGTGCTTGTCCTTGTGAAACACAGTGCTCAGTTCACCTCCAACCACTAGTTTTATTTTTGTCTGGCTAGTAACCTGCATCCTGAACTCTGATTAATTGAGCCAAGTGTCAGTGGAGAAAGAGGATGCTTGCTAGTCTGAGTATAAAAAAATTTCCATATAATTTTTTTTCCACATTCTTACCTTTGCTAAATTATCCAGAATATAAGGCTCACGTCTCCTTTTCCCATTACCGCTGTAACCTCTGTGTGAGACATTGATAAAAGATTTCAGTCCCTTCTGGCCTGCCTATGGGCTAACCGAATGCTTTAAAGGACAAGGGGAGAAAGAGTCTGGATATGGTCATGGATTACCAGATTATAACTATCAGAGCACCAGTTTCTCTGCCAAGGATAACAGGTATCCACCACTGGATCATTCTGTCTTCTGGAGAGATTCTTTTGCTGAGTTGAGAGACTAGTTCTACTTCTTGGCTTGCTTCCGTGAACAAGGAAAACTCCAAAAATTCAGTTCACTACTCCTCCTTCCACACTCACATTTATGACCTGTTGTGTATGAGTAATTCACTCCAGCTCCAATTTACATGCTAAAAATTTGAGATCAAGGCATATAAAACACTCAGCAGATACCTGTGGTGTACAACAATTTAAATCACTTGAACAACTGTGGTCAACCTTTGGCTTTGCCCCAGGCACATTCCTGTGGGTACCTTTTTTATGGCACTGTATTGGTGCCAACAGTTGTGATTCCAGAATTAGTCTAATGTTTTTGATGGTGATGAATCTGTTGACATGATGGGGTCGCCTACAGGCCTGGTAGTTAAATAAGGCAAAATCCAGTAGTGGGGGAATGCCTGTGTGGTGAAAGGGGGGCACTGTACATATCAGACCAATGAGGAAAAAAATGGAAGGTAAAAATACTATTAGGAGTGATTGAAATGCATGGACTCTTCACCAGGGAAACGCAGAATATGATGGGAGCTGTTGGCTGAATACCACAGGTCAGTCAAGTTGTTGATGGATTTCACATCCCATTCAGTGAGATTTGGGGGAAAAAGGTAGTAGACAGTATTCTGTAGTCTGTGCAAGACATGCAGTTGTGTCTCAGTGTACAGAGACCTGATACATGATATGTAAAATAATCTTGAATTTGGTGATTGTTTTATCTTCTCTTTCTCTAATGTGTTTTTGTATTTCTCTCACACATATATCCCCTTAATTAGAGGATATGCATGTCCACAGAAGGATGCGCTAGGGGAGATGGGGATGGGTGGGGAAGTCTCTGATTCATTGCAGAATGGTTACTACGCTGTAGTAACAGGAAGAGGAGAGGGCAACAGTTCTTAAGGACTGTTAAAGACAAGCACATATAAAGTTACAGGATGAGATAAAAGTAGTTTTCTCGAATGTTGTGTGCCTGTGGGGTGGGTTGTTTTTTTTTTTCCTTGGTGGGGGTTTTTTGTGGGTTTTTGTTACTTGTTTGTAACTTTCCTGAGAATATCCATAGTAAGCTCTGGCCTCCCTTAAGTCATTTAACTGGAGTTAGATTTCATCGACTGTCTGAGACTTTCAAAAATTGTTGTTTGAGTATGCTTGGCTGTCTACTCATCTAGTGCTTGGAAGGATCCCATAGCCAGAACAGGATCATTCAGGTAGTACAAGAGGATATGACATGAAGGAAAAGTCACATACATCTTTTTTCCTTTCTTGCAAGTTTTTCAGAGGAGCTAATAATAAAAAACCCTCCTTTCGGGCACAGGCAAGTGGTAGCACTCCAAGTACCTGTCTGTTTTCTCTGCTTTCCTGACTTCTTGGATTGAAACAAGCTGTAAACATTAGTTTCTTGCTTGCCTCTAGTTCTCTGGGAGGTGCTAATGAAGACCAGCTATTGCTGAGTTACTGAGTTTGTTGCAGCTTTCTCTGAGCAGTTCCTTTGAGAGCGTGGTTACATTTTTAACTGTTAAGCCCTTCTTATCTCCAATCTGGGCAGCCCCTGCTTGTTTAAACACTTCCTGTAATGAGGCACATGTTGACATAGGCAGAGCCCAGCCTCCAGCTATTTCCCACTTGTAAGAATTACTGTTAATACCTTTTTCATTGACATTTTCACTGTTGGCAAAGTTCACAATACCAACACAAAAAAAATGAGCTGATACTTGTGAGAGCTGTAGGTGCTCACAGTGCTTTACAAGCATAAAAGGAATACTTCCTGACTTAGGGAGCCTAGCTCTCTGAACCTCTTGTTTCTAAATACTGAAGAGCTACTGCTTTACATTATCAGTACAACTTTG